CTCCTGACTCCTGGCTCAGCCCTGAGCACTGTGGGCATCTGAGGAGATTCAGTGGACAGACTTTCCCTCTCTCTCGTAGATATTCGGGAAACAAACAAGTGGATAAACTTCCTTCTTTCTCCCCACCCCCTTCAAAAAAGCATCTAAAAGCACAGCGGGATACTACCATACGCCTATCATAATGGCTAAAAGCAGCAATACCAAATGCTGGCAAAATGTGCAAAAACCAGACCACACACGCACTGCTGGGGAGAATGTAAAATGTCACTCACTCTGGCAATGTCCAGTAGTGTCCTACAGAGCTAAACAGGACTGAGCAGTCACACATCTGGGCATTTATTCCAGGGTCTGGCCTGGCCCAGCCCTGGCTGTTGCAGCCATTCGGGAAATGAATCAGCAGATGGAAGGTATTTTTCTTATTCTTTCAAACAAATGAATAATCTTTTTTTTTTAAATAAAATCTGATCAGTTACAATGAAAAGGAATCACTGAATCTCTTCATGAAAAAAAGTTCTTTCAGTAAAGAAAATTAATCCTGAGCCTTTGTAGAGGCGCTTTATTATTTTAGAGGTATCCAGGTCTTATTTCATTTTTTTAAAGATTTATTTATTTTTATTACAAAGTCAGATATACAGAGAGGAGAGACAGACAGGAAGATGTTCCATCCGATGATTTACTCCCCAAGTGAGCGCAACGGCCAGTGCTACGCCGATCCGAAGCCGGGAAACTGGAATCTCTTCTGGGTCTCCCACACGGGTGCAGGGTCCCAAAGCTTTGGGCCGTCCTCGACTGCTTTCCCAGGCCACAGGCAGGGAGCTGGATGGGAAGTGGGGCTGCCAGGACCAGAACTGGCACCAATACGGAATCCTGGCGCATTCAAGGCGAGGACTTTAGCCAATAGGCCACGCTGCCAAGCCCATTATTTCATTTTTTATTAGGCAATTCTAGCATTTTCTCTTATGAATTATGATCATTCATATCTTTCCAGAAAATTATATTATCTGATTAATAGTTGGTAGCATTTTAAAATATTAGCTATTCTCTTTACTCATTTATTGCCTTTCTTAATTAGGTTTGGCTGGTATTTTTCTTGTTCATTATATCACAAAACCTTAAATTTATAGTCTTCATTTTGTCAATTACTTTATTTCTGCAGCTACCTTTTAATTTCCTTCCATTCTTCTTAATCTTGCATTTCTAACCTTCTTTGCATCACAAGCACATAACATATATCCTAAGAATTTACAGAATTTGGGAATAAATTTTCAAATGGTCAAGGTGGCAGACAAGATTGGAACGGCTTGGCACAAACAATAATAGAGGATGAAATATGTTCACCTTAAAAAGAAATTTTAAACACTAAAGTTGGGCAGGCATGACGTCTCAGTTGGCTAACCCTTGCCTGCAAGCACTTGCATCCTATATGGGCATTGGTTCATGTCCCGGCAGCTCCACTTCCCATTCAGTTCCCTGGTTATGACCTGGGAAAGCAGTGGAGGACAGCTCAAAGCCTTGGAGCCTTGCATGCATGTGGGAGGCCCGAAGGAGGTTCCTGACTTTGGCTTCAGACTGGCTCATTGAAACCATCTGGGAGGTGAACCAGTAGGTGGAAAATGCTTCTTTCTCTCCCTGTCTATAACTGTTTGAAATAAATAGATCTTCAAATAAATAATTGTCAGAATATGCTGAATTAGGTAAGTGATGAGGAATTAAGAATGAAACTGAATGTCTGGACTGTCAGGGGCTAAGCTGTGGCTCCCCTCCCCCAGTGCAATGTTCAGAGTGCTCAGAGGTACTTAGGTCAATGAGATCAGGACAGGATCTTAACCCCATCTGGCCAGCATCCTGATTAACATAAAGACATTAGAGACAGACGGCCAAAGACCGCAGGGGACTTGGTGAAGACTATGGGGAAAGGGCGGCCATCTTCCAACTCAAGCCACCCAGTCTATTATTTTGCACATGTGGACACACACATTAAGTGACCACATGGTGGACACAGAGAAGGCAACCACAACTCCACAGCTGGCTGTCCTGTTTGGCGAGTGAGCCAGGGACAGATGTGGGAGATAAAAACATAAGTGGAATGATGGGAGTAGACCATATAACCTGTGGGGAATGTGTCTAAGATACAGCCAGCAAGGAACCCAGGAGACACCACTGACAGTCTCAGAAGGCCTTTAAAAGAGGCAGAGAAACACACAAGAACCTGGTGAGATGAGGACCAGGAAAACACAGAGAAAAATGAAGTGTGCTCAACAGGGCCGCCTGTGACATGGTGATGAAGCTGGACCAACACCAGGAGGGGATTGTGGCCTCCTTGATGAGAAAGGAGAGCAGGGCTGGTGAGCTACAGGCAGCACAAGCCAATGGTTCAGGGACAGGAGAGGGAGGAAGGGGAGACGACCTGTAGGAAGCTGGTCATAGAAGCAGGATAAGGAAGCTTGTCGCAGAAGCAGGAAAAGGTGGTGGTTGGAAAGGGACAGCAGGTTCAGGGAGGGTTCCCTGTGGTGTAAAACTCATCACAGCCAGCCATCAGAGGAGAGGCCAAGGATGCAGAAGTGACCCTGTAGGAGAAAAGGCACACCCCCAAGGGGGAAGATGGCTGGATGGGGACACAATCACAGGCAGAACAAACTAAGGGCTCCCTGAGGCCAGTCATCCTTGGAGAGTGAGCAAGGTGGGACAGGGAAAACCAAGGCAGTGGGGAACTTTAGGTACAGGCAGGGCTCACAGCTACAGGATTCATCGTGGTCACCTCCAGGGCCTCCCTCCCGGGAGCTCAGGGACTTGCACAGCAGCTGGATGAAGAAGGGCAGTCCCTGGGTTAGTCCACAGGGCGTGGCCAGGGAGGAGCCATGCAGGAATGGGCAGCCCCAGCCACAAGGCTGTGAGGACTTTCCTCATCAGTTTCATCCTTAACCAACAGTGTGCTCCAATGCACCCTTCTCTTCACACACACCTGTGACTGCCTACCTTTACCGTCCCAAGGTCAAGTCACAGACAACCTACTCAACAATGGTCTTCACAAGATCCACTTAACATGTAGAGAAGATGTAAAATGAAACTTACTACTAAAAATGTATTTCAATCTGCATAACTACAAGAAAAAGATCTAATGAGGCCGATGTTCACAGCTACATGCAGCATCCCCAGGAAGACACAGGTGTGACCACAGAGGACCCAGGGCATGCTGCACTTGACGCTCCAATATTAGGTGTTGTGAATGGGTCCTTCCAAAATCAGTCACAAGGCTGCATGCTTTAAAACAAGCTGTCTCAGCTGTTAGAAACCTTCACATGCAGGTGTGGGCCTCTGTTTTGGTGATTAAGACACCTGTACCAAATCCCGGAGTGCTGGGTCCAAGTCCTGGCTCAGCTCATGATCCCAGCTTCCTGCTAACATTCCCTGGGAGAAGCAGTGAGGGCTCAAGTGCCTGGGATGCCATCACACATGGGAGACCTGGATTGGGTTCCAGGCTTCTGGCTCGGCCCAGTCCCAGCTACTGGGGAATTGGGGAAGTAAATCTGTGTTTAAGATAAACACATACACACACACAAAAGAAAGACTTAAGAATTAGAACATTTTGGTACCTCTGAAATGGAGAAAACAGCAAATATACAATAATATCACAAATAGTTTAACCTCTTAGTTTCTTTGGTCACCATCCCATTTACTAGGCCTCCAAATTTTGGGGAGAAGGGAAGAACCCCACAAGTGACAGAATGCCCTGTAGGGGGATGCTGTGACAGTCATCCTAGCATCCTGGTAATGAAGATGTCTCTTCTACTGAACCCTGTATTTGTGTACATACCACCACTGCACACCACAGCCCTGAGCCCAGCCGTCATGGCACGCCAGTGGGAGACCGTGGCCTAAAGGAGCCGTCAACATTCCCTCTGGGCCACAGGTACCACCATTGCCAGAGTCCCCTGGGTGGGTGCATGCAGCAGACGCCAAGGTGTGCGGGCTGTGAGTGAAAGATGAGCCCCCGAGGAGCAAGTAGGAAGAGGGTCCCCAGGTCAGCATGGAGAGCATGACACGGCCAGAGGGCAGGACCAACAAGGCAGGAGGTCTGAAGTCCTGCTCTAGCCACCTACCTCGGGGTCACTTGAAGTCTGCAAATCCGTAATCACCTATACTCTTACCAGCCTCGGAAGACTGGGTGGAAGGGACCAAAGAGCCCATGGCAGTTTCTGAAGCTCTCTACGTCATGCTGTTACCATCATTTACTATTTGAGCAGAATAGCAGAGCCATGGGAAGGATGGCCCTACAACTCTGCAGGGCCTTGGGCAGGCGAACAAGGGACCATCACACTTTCCATTGAAGTCGGGCTGCACCTCCCAACCTACCTGCTGATGGGAAAAACAAAGCTGAAAGACAAAGCTGCAGCAGCAAGCAGCTGGGAGACGCCACGGGGCTGATGTCTGCTTTCTCTGAGGGTTGCAGAGAAGGCTGTTCCCTCAGGTAGGCGCCAGAGCTGGGGGTGCGGTGATCAGAGTGGTGCAGGCTTCTGAGGCCAGGACTCGCCTCGTTTCCACTGAGGATGTGGGATAACGAAGCACCCCATTTATTTGATGGTAGAACCCCCTTTCCACAGCATAGCTGAAAAAGGTCTTGGAGACACCCTTCGGGAGTGCGCTCTCAGGTGAGCCTGTTGTGTGGGCACATGGAACAGCCTGGAAGCAGACAATGCTGGACACTGTAGAAAGCAGAAAAGCCCCTTCTCACCGCGATACACAGCCAGTGTTCCCCACCCCCTAAGATTCACCTGCTATGCAACTGTACACTCCACAGCCACATACCGCAAATCTACACTTTTATTTTTGTTGTTGTTGTTCTAGAATGTGCTTTTTCCTCAGTGACTTTAGTGTCATTTCAGGACCTCCACCTCCCCTTAAACAAAACAGAACAAAATACACGCAGACACACACATGCCACCCACCAATCAGGTGAGAACCCCGGCGATCAATCTAACAAATACTGACACGAGGGGGGAAAAAGCATGTTGAAATGTATTAGAATCATAACCTGTACAAAAAAAATTAAAATATAACCTGAAACTGTTCAAGTTCAGCAAGTCTAGTCCAGTCCTGTTCTCTCACCAGGAGAATGCATCATCAGGGGCGCAGGGTCACCAGCCAGGGACGGGTGGAAAGGAAGAAACAGAGGCAGCCCAGGCCTTCACCAGAAGGCCCAGCCGCAGCCCCAGTGCAGCCCAGCCCGGAGGCAGCAGCAGAGCCTGGAGGGCTCGAGGAGCAGCCAGCCAGCAGGAGGAGCGGCCAGTAAGGGCCCCAGGCTGGGAGAACCTGTAGCCCCTCTGCATGTGCCCGGATTCCAGCACTCCCAGCAAGTGGAAACCAGACCTGGGTTTAGAGCGCTGAAAACCCGCAGGTTTAGTAAACACAGCACAGTGTCATATCCCTCCATGGCCTGAACTGGGAGCTGCCAACAGGGAAAGGCAGGGAGGAAAGAGGCGTGGGATCGGGCTCTGGAGGCCTGCACCACAGTGGGAGCCATGGGGTTATGGCTGTAGGAGGTGTGTGCCTTCCCCATGCGGAGGGGCCTCCTCCACAGCCATCCTGTGGGGCTGGTTAAAGCTGACTCGGCCATAGCCAGCCTGACAAAACAACATGAGCAAAAGAAAAGCTGCAAGGGAGCCGAGCTCTTCTGCAGAGACAAGAACCTCCTGGAGGGAGGCCAGGCGGCGTCCACTCTGCTCACAGGAATGGCATCCGGGAACCCCTGAGTCGGAGGGAGGGGGCAGGGAGAGGAGTCCCGGTTCTTCTGGAACAGTACCGACAGGGTGGGGAGGCGCTGGAGAGGACATGGGCAGGTCTGGGACTCACTGCAGGTAAGGAGGGGAGGAGCAGGCCCTCGGTGTTCCCGGCCCGCCTGACCAGGCCTGGTGAGTGCCAGCTGCCCCAGCCAGCCCTAGTGGCGGCTGGAGACCAGGCCTTTCACTTTGGACATCTTCTTGGTGGGCTGCCTCTGCTCGGCATGAGGGGGACCCTCCCGCTCAGGCAGCTGCTGCTCCATTTCCTGGGCCGAGGAGGATGCGGTGGCTTTGAGAGTCTTCTTGATGTTGGTAACCTGGAGAGAGACAGGGAATTGGTGTCAACCTGCTCCCGCTACAAGGAGGGTCACAGAGAAGCAACCAGAATCTCATGCAAAAAAAAAAAAAAAACTAACAAACAAAAAAAACCCAGGCAGTTAGCTGCAGAAACCCCCTCCTTCCACTGCAGTTCCGATGCCCTGGGACACCCCGCTCCCACACTGGAGTGCCTGGGTCTGAGGGCCACCCCTGCTTCTGGCTTCAGCTGTCTGCTAATGTGCAGCCTGGGAAGCAGCGAGGGCTCACGGCCTTGGGCTGCTGTCACTCACAAGGGCCATGCAGACGGAGCCACGGTTCCTGACTCTGAACCGGCCCAGCCTTCACCACTGCAGAACATGCGGGGGAGCGAACTGGCAGACAAACGATCTCCCTTTCCGACTCTCTGCCTTTCAAATAGTCAGAATAAATTAAAAGCAAAGAAATCCAGATGAGGAGAAATGAGCAGGCGCCACTCCTGGGGGAAATGTGGAAATGAGTCCTGTAAAGCTGTGCAAACAATGCTTTCTTAACAGCGACCCAAGCAGGAGGTGAGAGAAACTAAAGGCTCCATGTCCCAGGAAATAGAAAGCGGGACCCAGGATTCTACACTCAGCTATGCTTTCCAAAACCTCTGAAAATACAGCTCCACATACTCTTCTTGAAGGAAAAAAAAAAAAAAAAAAAAAAAAAACAAGATTTCAGCCAAAGAAGATACTAACAAACTAACAGCTTTTCTCTTCAAGATCCCAGAAGTGGCCTCTTATTGAGCTAATTATCATCTTTCCGTTTAGCAAAGTAGCTTTACAAAAAGTTTAAAATTACAGCCCCCTAAAATAGCTTCCTTCATCTCATCTTGGCTAACAACAGCTTAAACCTCTGTTGAGTTTCTAACAACTTTGACTGAACAATAGCTCACCCAGCACAGAGCCTGCAGTAGGGACACTTTCACTCTGTCATTGCTACTGACGGCCTAGCTCTGCCCAGGAGTGGGAAAAGGCATTTTCTCAATCCCCACGCTATGGCTTTTATTTTTCCTTTTTTGAAGACTTATTCATTTACCTGAAAAATAATTAGAGATAGAGACAGAAAAGGATCTTCCATCAGCTGGTTCACTCCCCACACTGCTGCCAGGGCCAGCTGGACCAACCCCAAGGCAAGAGCTAGGAGCTCCGCCCGGGCCTCCCAGGCAGCAGTGGCCCAAGCACTCGGGCCATTTTGTGCTGCTTTTCCCAGGCCATTAGCAGGGAGCTGGACTGGAGGTGGAGCAAGTCAAGTCACAAATGCCTACATGGACAGCTGGCATCACAGGCAGCTTTACCCACAATCCCACAAGGCTGACCCACAGTGCTGTTCCCTGCTCTTGCACCTGTGTTTCTGCTGCCTAGAGCTCCAGACACTACCAGCCGGTAGCGGGCAGAGCCATCCACAAAGGCTGTGATGCCAGTCCCTGGACTGCCCCCAGAAGCACACTCTGCCCACGGCTCGTCCCCCAAGGCCACGTCCCCTTGCTGGACCTCAGGCCAGCCAACTCCCACTGCCTGCTGTGTAGACTCCAGCATCATGTCTGATCCTGGCAGAATCCCAGCCTGCTCTAGGTCCTGGGCAGCCTGCCCGTCACCCTCTCCAGCACAGAGGCCTCATTTATCCCTGCTTCCCGCCTGGACCATTTCCCTACCCACCAGGCACAGACCCCCTACCTCATGGTGACTCAGCTCGATGACAAGGCCTTTGGTCCAGGATCCTGGCAAAAGCTTGAGAGCAAACCAGAGGCATGGCCGCCCTGAAGAGGTCACTCAAAGGCCCATTTGCCACCTAGTTTTCTCTGACAGAAACTATTCTTTCAATGAGCCTTTGTGGGTGCTCAGTGGTTTTGATATAAAAGAAAAATATACGGGCTGGTGCTATGGGCAGCAGGCTAAAGCTGTCACCGCCTGCAGTACCAGCATCCCATACAGGTGCTTGTTCTAATCCCGACTTCTCCACTTGAGATCCAGCTGCCTGCTGATGCACCTGGGCAAGCAGCAGCAGATAGCCCAGCTGTTTGGGGCCCTGCACCCACACGGGGGACCCAGAAGAAGCTCCTGGCTTCAGATTTGTCCAGCTCTGGCCCTTGTGGCCATTCAGGATGGAAATAAGTGAATGGCCGATTTCTGTCTCTCCCTCTCCATAATTCTGCCTTTCAAATTAATTCATTCATTTATTTAGAAAGGAAAGAAAGAAAACAAATATCTGGCTCAGGGAAGATCTTTCTTCTCTAGTGTGGAAACACCTCCCTTCCGCATCCCTTAGCCACTACCTTGACTCAAGCCATGCTGGGCCCCTGGACCAAACTGGGAAGCAGACACTCCAGCTTTGCCTCTGTGACTTCCATTAACTTATCCCAGCCCCTCTTCCACATGGGTTCCGACCACTCCAGCCCCACAGACCCACTCGCCTAACTCGCACTGCTGGGCTGGCCTCTCACTCTCCAATGGCCTCCCCCATATACCCTGTCTCCTCTGAGCTTCCGAGCACATGTCCTGCTCCTCCCTCAGACCCCAACAAAGCTAAGTCTGCTCCCGCCATAGCCACTTTGAGGCAAAGCCCTCTGCAAAGAAAAAGGCTTCCTGAAGAAGCGTCCCTAAGCCTAAAAAAAGGAAGCCCTGGACTCTCACAGGGACTCAGCCCCATAGGGGAACACTGCTGCCTCACACTGGGTTCTACTGCCCAGATGCCACGTGCCAAGTCAGCTTTATTGCCAGCATCGTTTCAACATATACAGTACACAAAGAGGACACAGCCGAAGGGATCTCGGGGTCCATCAGCTTTTGCCGACAGCTGGGCAGGTCCATAGGTGGACTGCTCCTGCCAAGACGCACAGCAGCTGCCTGGGTCAGTTTGCCAACTAAACTCGCTTCAGTTCTCGCAACTTTCCAGAGAAGCCACGGGGCTGCCGTTCCACTGACCACTGACACCCTCTCAAAAGATTCATCTTCTTTGGCCTAAACCTGACCCACTCCCTTCTGATTTTTTTTCCAAGTGGCCTGGCTTGCAGGTTATTCCCACCCCCTTACTCCAGGATGGTCTAGACTTTGTCCAACTCTTCAAAACATGAACCTCAGGGATTTTCAAATTGGACTTCACCCACCAGCGAAAGGCTACTTAGCTCCATCAGGGACTTAAGTACTGAGGCAGAAGGAGAGAGGGAACCTCCTAAGACAGCCTGGTCTCAGCCGTGGGCAGAGCAAGCGCGACCAGCACAAGAGCCCTCAGCTGGAAAGGTGCGCCACGGAAGAGGAAAGCTGAGGGTGCATGGGGACGCCACCAAGCCTTAAGACCCATCACCACCTGCACTCCTGTGCGACTGTCTGCTTCATGGAAAACAGAGCTTCCTCTGCAGTCACAGGCGACTCTGTAGGTACAGCAAGAGCTGGATATTAACTTTCCACAGAACATCAAACATTCCAAAATCCAAGGTGCACAAGGAAGTGCTTTGGGATGCTGTGACTAACTGTTCGTCCCCTCCAGAGAGCCTGCCTGGACACAGCATGTCAGCTGGTGCTCCTGTGCTCTCGGCCCAGCATGCAGGGGCTCCATGTGGTACGTGTCCCTTCCAGGACCGGTTACAGGGGGGCCAGTGTGATGCCTTGATTAATGTGCTTGTGCTTGTAACTGCCGGCATTCCACACTGCCACTGGTTTGTATCCCAGCTGTTCCACTTCCCATCCAGCTCTCTTCCTATAGCCTGGGAAAGCAGTGGAGGATGGCCCAAAGCTTTGAGACCCTGTACCTGTGAGGGAGACCTGGAAGAAGCTCCTGGCTCCTGGCTTTGGACTGGCTCAGCTCTGGCCATTGTGGACATATGGGAATTGAACCAGTGGATAGAAGATTTTTCTTTCTGTATCTCCTCCTTCCTATAAATAAAAATAAATCTTAAAAAAAAAGAAAAGGAAAGACTACAAGGAAGGAACTCTTCACCAGACAGGGTGGGCTACGTTCTAAGGAAAGGCATTTAAAGCTACAATTCACTAGAAGAAAGCTACAGTTCTAAGATCTGGGTGGAAGGGCCCGGCACAGTAGCTTAGCAGTTAAAGTTCTCACCCTTGCACGCGCTGGGATTCCATATGGGCGCCGGTTCTAATCCCAGCAGCCCTGCTTCCCAACCAGCTCCCTTCTTGTGGCCTGGAAGGGCAGTCAAGGACAGCCCAAAGCCTTGGGACCCTGCAATCGTGTAGGAGACCAGAAGAAGCTCCTGGCTTTGAATCAGTATAGCACCGGCCGTTGCGGTCACTTGAGGAGTGATTCAACGGATGGAACATCTTCTTCTCTGTCTTGCCTCCTCTCTATGTAACTGACTTTCCAATAAAAATAAAAAATAAATCTTAAAAAAAAAAAAAACCGATCTGGGGTGGAAGAGGAATATCAGAGAGCAAGTTTGGAAACAAGTAGAGAAGGTCACCAGGTCAACTGACAGGCGGAGGCACAGCCCCCTCACTCTGCACAGACTGGTCTGTTCCAGAAACAGGTGTGTGGTGACTACTCCCGTGTGCCAGCAGCATGAGCACCTCACACTTGAGAGCCAGACCATGTGTTCACTAAATAGAAACTGACCAAGTGCAGGGCTCTGGCCATGCTCACTTTTCCCATACTGGACAATCCCCAAACCGCTAGAACACTATTAAAGCAACAGACTGAATGGCGGAAGCAGCCTTGACCTTTGCAGTGGATTTCTCTCAAACTTAATCTTTACTGCCACCTGGTGGCAGCATCATGCTCTGCCAACGGAGTAGCCCCATTTTCATACAGATAAACTTGTGTCTTGGCACACACTCTTCTAAACAGCCAGGATCTAAAACATCAACACTGTTGGGTGAGTGCAAGGTGTGCCACAGCCAAGTGCTACAGCACCTCTGTTCATGCTGGCCTTCCTTTTGTCCAATATACCGTCTGTCACAGAAGTAAACTTGGGCAGCTAAAAATTTTAGAACTGGTAACAGTCATCTTAGTTAACAGCCACATTACCGGTCCACAACCTCATGCAAGCCGCAATGGCCTGGGCGGGCACCAGCCTGCTCTGACAGTCTCCAGCCAGGATCAAGACAACAGGCTCTAGGCAGGCCTGTCCCACGGGGAGGCAGGGGAAGCAGCTGCTTCGAAGCTTCCAGAAGGAGAAGCAGAGGGTGATTAACCCTTGCTCCTTTGCTCACCCCTCCCGCCCAGGTCACAGTCAGGTGGTCACCATTGTTGAGGAGGTGACTGCACTCAACTCACCAAAAGTAGCAGCTTGGATTCCTGTCTCTGGATCATCATGTACCTGGGCCAAAAATGGATGAAACAGGCTGGCCCAAACACCCACAGAGCACAAACATATGGGGTGGGATTCAAAATACGTGCTAGAGTTCACTGGCAGCACAGCTCAGCAGGGCCACTGACACACATCCTGCTGTGTTGGAGACATACAGTGCAACTTCGGAGAGCCTATTGCACACGGGTAAGGTACAGGGCAGGAAGCTGGACTCACAAAGGCAAGTAAGTAACCTAGCAGCTGAAGTCCTCGCCGTGCCCATGCCGAGATCTCATATGGACATCAGTTCTTGTTCCAATAGCCCCACTTCCATTCCAGCTCCCTGCCTGTGGCCTGGAAAGCAATCAAGGACGGCCCAAACCCTTAGGACCCTACACATGTATGGGAGACCCAGAAGAGGCTCCGGGCTGCTGGCTTCAGATTGGCTCAGCTCTGGCCACTGCGTCCGCTTGGGGAATGAATCAACAGATGGAAGATCTTCCTTTTGTCTTTCCTCCTCTCTCTATATCTGACTTTCCAGTAAAAAAATAAATAAATAAATAAAAATTATGCATGAATCTTAAAAAAATCTTTAAAAAAATAAAAATCATGCATGAATCTTAAAAAAAAAAAAAAAAGGCAAGTAACACAGGTTTGATTTCCAAGAGGCAGGAATTCTCCAAATTTCACACTCAGCTCTTCAGTTCCTCAGCTGGAATTCTGGACCTCACTTTGCCACACTCAGACAACTGATGTGTAAAACTCGTGAGACATCGTAACACTTCAAAGCCCCATCCCAAGGTAGCGCCATCCCAGTGTTTCTGATCTGGGTTCCAATCAGACCATGAGGGCACAGCCCTTGTCAGGCTATGGGCACAAGACAGTCACCCACAACACTAAGACTGAGGCCTGCCTCCACCCAACAAGTTTCAAGTGTCCCCAACAACCAGGTGCCACTGAAGCCATATTCACACCCTCCTGAGTCTCATCCACCAAAATTTTTTTCATGAATTATACAAGTCCATAGGACACACTCGCACAGTTTAAACTCTTCTTTCCAGAAGAAGTGAAGAATCAGGACTTTCGGGGCCTGCACTGTGGCACAGCAAGTTATATGGGTGCTGGTTCACATCCTGGCTGCTCCACTTCTGAACCACCTTCCTGTTAGTGCCCTGGGAAAGCAGCAAAATGCCTGGGCTCCTGCACCCCCCATGGAACCCCTGGAAGAAGCTCCAGCCTGGATCAGCCCCAGCCACTGAAGCCTTTGGGGAGTGAACCAGAGGATCAAAGCTCTGTGTCCCTCCCTCTTTTCCCTCCTTCTCTTTCTGCCTTCCTCTCTCCTGCTCTAATTTTGCCTTTCAAATAAGTAATCTTTAAAAAAAAAATCAAATACCAAGGCCTTGAAGCTCATGCACTCATCTCCCCCTACCTGGTATCCACCATCTCTCTCCATTAAAAAAAAAAAAAAAAAAGATATTTCTACTTATTTGAAAAGCAGAGAGAAAGAGACTTCCATGTCATGGTTCCCTCCCCAAATGCCTGCATCAGCTGGGGCAGAGTCAGGCTGAAGCCAGAAGCCAGCTCAATCCAAGTCACTCACATGGGGAGCAGGGAACAGGTGTCTGACCCCCACCTGCTGCTTTCCAGGATGTAACATGAGCAGGAAGCCAAGCCGAGACCCAACCCAACACTGCAATGAGAGGCAGGGAACCAAGCCAAGTCCTAACCACTAACCCCTTGAGTCCATTTCTAAGATCCATTCCTCACCAAACTCATTTTTTTTCTTCTGTAGCAGCAAAGTGCAGCTACACTATAGAATTTCAACTCTCTGCATGCAACCACTGCCAATCAAAATCAGGAGGGAGACTGACAGAGCTAAGGGCAAGCACAGTGCCTGCCCTATCCCTGTGTAGGGGCATCAGACTAAAACCCTGGAAAAAAGGAACAGACTGGACAGGCAGGCCCCCTTAGAGAGAGGACCACACCCCTGCCTGCTTACCTCTGCCTCCACCTGCTGCTGAGTCCGCGTGTGGCTCTCTTTGTACTGGTTGGCTCTCAGGACTTGCTGCTCGATGCCCAGCAACACCGCCTCACAGCCATCACACCTGCCAAGCAGAAAGCCAGCCTCAGTGGCAGGGGCCCCGGAAGGTGTGCACCCAGGCCTCCTTGGCAACCGGTGAGAACTTGGTCTGCCAGAGTTCTTGCCCATTCTTCACCCCTGACTAAAGACAAGCGTTTCTAACTAGGGACCAACAGGTGGTTTGGGGTAGTTTCTTAGAACATGGCTTGCTTTCATGTTCAACCTTGTAACACAGAAAGCAGTTCACAAAATGTAAAAAGAAAGTCAGAGATCGATAAGGTGACACTGATGAGTCACTTTTCTCAACAAAAATAAACTTTTTAAGAAAGTGAATGCATAGTTCACATTTACTTCAAAAAGTTCAGGGAGGATGGAATTACAAGTTTCTTTTAGTATAAAATTTTTTTTGACACATGAGTTTTTTCATGATGTGAATTTCCATGAAATTTTTTAAAAAAAAAAGACTCATTTATTCCCATTGGAAAGTAAGATATACAAAGAGGAGGAGAGACAGAGAAGAAGATCTTCTGTCCACTGATTTACTCCCCAAGTGGCCACAATGGCTGGAGCTGAGCCGATCTGAAGCCAGGAGCTTCATCCGGGTCTTCTACGCGGATGCAGAGTCCCAAAGCTTTGGGCGGTCCTTGACTGCCTTCCCAGTCCACAAGCAAGGAGCTGGATGGGAAGTGGGGCTATTGGACATGAACCGGCATTCACATGGGATCCTGGGCGTTCAAGGCGAGGATTTAGCCACCAAGTTACTGGTACTGGACCTCCAACACTTTTGAAGACCCCACATGTGCATGTTTCAAGGTATTTTTGCATGAAAAAATCTTTTTAATTCCATTTTCCATGAACTTTCTTTGCAGTGCCCACCTATTCCCCTTTCTTTAAAGCTTAAGCTACATTCTAACTGCCACGTCCTCTGCTTGTTCATTCTCTCCACTTCAAAAAAAAATTTTTTTTTAATAACACTTCAGGAGCTGGTGCAGTGGCCAGCATCCCACGTGGCACCTGCCCAAAACCCACCTGTTCCACTTCTGATCCAGCTCCCCGATATTGTGCCTGGAGAAGCAGAACATGGCTCTTGCTACCCACATGGGATATGCAGATGGACTGCCAGGTTCCTGGAGTCAGTCCAGCCCAGCCCTGGTTGTTGCAGTTACTGGGAGAATGAACAAGTGAATGGAAGATCTTTTTGTCTCTCCTCTGTTTAACTGTGCCTTTCAAATAAATAAATCTTAAGAACAAAAAAGTTAAGAGAATAACGATTCAAAATTCAATCAGTCAAGATTCTAAAGTTATGAACACTATATCATATTTCTGGGTACCTCTCTACAAAACAGTTTTGTTTCTGATCTAATTTCAACCCCCTAAATGGGGGTTTTATAAATCTCTCCTAGGGGCAGACAGGCTTAGCGGAACACCCACATCCTGCCTCTCCTGGGCTCCAGTCCGGCTCTGCTTCGGACTCCAGCTTTTGGCTGAAACACACTCTGGGAGGCAAGGACATGTGTCCCCGTCCTCCACGACGATGACCGAGTTCCATGTTCCTGGCTTTGGCCTGGCTCTGTGCCAGCTGTGTGGCAATTTGAAGAATGAACCAGTGGATGGAAGGGCTCTTGTCTCTCCCATTCTTTTCTCTTTCTGTCTTTCAAATGTAATAAAGAATGCCTACTGCTGAGCAGTCCAAAACTCTCTTGACCAGGGGTCAAGGTAGCACCTGGGTTTGGTATGTTGGACCATTTGTACATTAACAGGACTTTTCTAAATTTCTTTCCTGTTTATTCTAACTGAATTCTTTTACAGTCTCCTGAATGCCTGTGTATGTATCAGACACTGTGAAGGTAAGGTGTCCAGGGCTCTATTTGGGACAGAATATGAGTTGAAGGTTGGGGGAGAGTAACAGTCACTAAGTGAGGAAAGGCAGGGGCATCAGACCCCACAGAGCCAAAGTTGGGCAGCTCTTCCCCAGATTAATTCTTTGCAGGATAAGGCAGAGACACGTTGGTTTCAAAGAAAACAGCAGGACCCAGCGCAATAGCCTAGTGGTTAAAGTCCTTACCTTGCATGCTCAGGATCCCATATGCCCTGCTTCCCATCCAGCTCCCTGCTTCCCATCCAGCCCTACTTCCCATCCAGCTCCCTGCTTCTGGCCTGGGAGAGCAGCTGAGAACAGCCCAAAGATTTGGGACCCTGCACCTGTGTGGGAGACCCGGAAGAAGCTCCAGGCTCCTGGCTTCGGAATGGCTCAGCTCCAGCCATTGCAGCCGCTTGGGGAATGAATTGTCAGACGAAAGATCTTCCTCTCTGTCTCTCCTCCTCTCTGTATATCTGAATTTCCAATAAAAATAAATAAATCTTAAAAAAAAAAAAAGAAAAAGAAAACACATCCCCAAACCTCTGCACACATCTGCCATGCACCTGCCTAGGAAGACAATTCCCCCAACTCAAAAAACTGTCCGAAGTTCAATGGCTTTAATAGTCCCAACTCTTAAATAAATCGCGTAGCAGCTGTAACAGTTCTTGGAAACATCAAATTCTGTTTCTAGCATTTATTTATTTGAAAGAGTTAAAGAGAGACAAAGAGAAAGATCTTTTATTTGCAGGTTCACTCCCCAAATGGCTGCAACAATTGGAGCTGGGCCAGGGTGAAGCCAGGGGTTTCATTCAGGTCTCCCACATGGGTGGCAGGGGTCCAAGAACATGGGCCATCTTCCACCTTCTGCTGCCTTTCCACACACTCTAACAAGGAGCTGGACCAGAAGTGGAGGAGCCAGGACTCAAACCAGCATTTGCTCATATACAGTGCCAGCACAACTAGTGGCAATTTTATCCACTTGCACCACAACACTAGCCCTTGGAGTTCTATTAACAGATAAATATAAATATTCCAAGTCTTTTAAAAAGTGTTTTCTTTTGCATTTATTTTATTTGAAAGGCTGAAGGGAACGAGAGAAACAGCCAGCCAGCCAGCCAGCCACATAGACATCTCCCATCCAAAGGTTATTGCCTAACGCCTGAGGCTGTTTCAAAGCCAGGATCTGGGAACTCCATCCGGGCCTCCCCTGTGCATGGCAGAAACCCAACCTCAGTCATCACTGCTGCCTCCTCTGGTCCACATTAGCACAAAGCTGGAACCAGGAGTTAAGAGTCAGAGATCAGATCCAGGCACTACAGTGTCTTAGCCAACAGGCCAAACATCCAGCCCCAATTCTTTTTATTGACACTCATCCTGCACCTCTCCTTATCACTCATCTATAGACAACCAAGATCTGAAACTATTAAGCAGAAAACCCCAGAAATAACTAAGTTTTAAGCTATGCACCACTCTGAGCAGCCTGATGAAATCCCATGCTATCCATTGAGGTGAATCACCCCCTGCGCACGCTGCCCACGCTGCCTGCTGGTAGGCACCTAGCAGCTCTTGCAGCTTCACAGCGCTTGTAAGGCACCCTACACTACGTCCCAGAGCCGGGTCATGCACCTTGCTCACAACAGCCTTGGTTTATCTCATATCAGAGGAAACACAGGCTGAGTACAGACAGAGAGAAGGCAGTCATGTGACTTTGACAGTACACTGTTATAATGTCTGCTTTATCAATTGTTGATAATCTTTTTTGCCTACTTTATAAATTAAACTTTATCACAGGCATGTATACACTGGAAAACCACAATGAGTATGCATATACCTGCATATACGGGGTTCAGTACAATAGTGTAAAGTGTCCTCTACAGTCCTGAAGTGGATCTCCATGGAAGAGCAACCACAGAACCAGAACAGACTGATGGAATACTCCGTGTGGACTTGTGCTCCAATTAACTAACCCATTCCTTGTCTTCAATATTTCTCACACTGTTTCCCAACACTAGCCCAGTAAGTCACGGATTCTGAACATGGGTTCCCTTTTCCACAGAATCTTACCAACAATACTTCCCCTGAGCTCAAACTGAGTCTGAGTCTGGAGAGGACAGGACTGGCGTCACCCAGCTGGGCTGCACAGGCTCCAGCAGCTACCACTGGAGTTTTACAGCTCACCACTGAACAGCCCCTAGCTGCATTCAGTACAAGCACCCTTGGGATTCCTGGAACCACAGGGCTGAAGTCACTCTGCTTAGGTCCCACCCTAAGGCTCCAGCCTCCAAAGACACCAACAGGGTTCGTTTCTGCAAGCAGAGGCTCAAAGCACCTGTTAGATACCCCATCTTTTCAGTCTCACCATTCGTGTAAGGTCTTAACAATGTTATTGATATCCTTCTTTCGGATGTCACGGCCAATGCAGAAATCCACTTCTAGCAGCTGGTTTCGCTGGTCCAGCTTGCCCTGGATGATGTCAGTGTAGACAGCCTCAATTATGAGGTCTTCTAGTTCCCGAAGATTCCGCATCTCCAGGTCTTTCAGCAGCACAGAGTAGGGAATACACTGCAGATAAGGTCATGAGAGAGTTACAAAGACTACCTGGTAAACATTAATCAAAATGCAGGCATTATCCACACACCCAATAGCTGCCTCTGGACTCGAGCAATGCAGGTAGTGGCAATTATTAATATCTAGGACACAGAGGGAACCATGAAGCCCATGAGGCAAACAAGCCCTCATGCCATCCAGGGAGGTATCCTCCTAATCCTCTACCTCCTGACCCAGTGGCCCTTGGCCTTCAGGTCCTGGAGCGCACTCGTTCAGAGTCCAGACTCCTTCCAAAGCAGAGAAAGGCGAAGGAATACTCAGAACAAGACACTCTGCAACCATCTGGAAAGTGCCAGATCTTCATCCACCTACAGCAGACCCCAGACACTGGAGAGCAGTGGCTGTTTGCCCAACACAGTGCCAGCTAAAAAACATGCATGCCAGACCACCACATACAGGCGGCCAGCGGGGACTGCCAGAGCAAAGATCATCATCAAGCCTGTACCTATCTTCAACAACCACAGCTATCTGAAAGGCTGTACTACATCCTGCAAGACACCAGGACAACAGGAGAGCAAAACAATAAACTGTCTGCAAATCCTCTAACACATTACTGCTGATTTGGACATTAACACAGCGATCAACTCTGTAGAAACAGGAAGAGAATGGAATAACATCTAGAAGGGTTTTCTAAGGCTGAAGGTGTGACACCCAGGGTCAGTGGGGTGGCTTACAATGACAGACTGCAGCAATGAGGAAAAAAGTCACTCCCAATCTTACTGGAGGGCCCATAGTCAGGACGAGAAGTGAGACCAACTCCTCATTTCCCAACAGAAACAGGCCTCCCACCAGAAATGCCAGGCTGAGAGCGAGAAACCTCTGATTAGACCAGGTAATTTGAAACAGCAGTCCCGGCACAATGACACAACTCTTCAGGCTCCAGCACCAGGGAAAGTGCAAACAGCAACCTTCTCAGCAAGCGCCACACAATTTCGGCAGGGCTGAGATTAGGCAGCGAGCCAAACTCTACTGCTCATTAACAGAACGTGGCCCTGTTTCTGAATGGCTGTGAGCAGCTGGCTGTGGCGCGCCTCTCAACGGGCTGGCCAACGCAGAGGTGTTGCACAGCGCATCTCACAAAGGGCGGGGTCCAGAGCGAACCACGAGACCTGTGAGATCCAAACAGAACCTCTTGCCATCTAAGAGGGCATCCCACGTTCTCTGCCTCCACTTAAGGGACTAACTCTGAAAATCTCAGAAAGAGGCAGCATACTAAAATCTACTTCTCAGTAAGTCCCTTCAGTAGGGCACAAGCCACTGTGCACCAAGCAACAAAGATGTGAACTTGCCCCGAGACACTGGGTTGCCTGAAAACCAGCAGCCTCAGGGGAGCACAGCCAGAGGCCCACACACACCCCAGCACACAGGGGCCGAACACAACAACCCTGCATGCATTTCTTGGACACACTGTGGAGTCACTGGCCACCCGACTTTAGCTGGTCTCAGTTTTCTTCCCTCCCACCCCCCTTTGACTGCTGTGCACTCAGGGTGTGACTGCCATGTGCTACAGGAGCGCCCTCCCTGCCTCAGGCTAGGGGCAGACAGGAAAGGGTCAGGACTGTACCTTCATTCTCGACGCCAAGCTCACGATGGTCAGGTGCTTCAGCTTGTTCTGCTGAGCTGTGCTCAGTTCTGGCAGGCTCTCCTTGTTGGCTGCTCAGTCCCACCCACCACAAGAATCAAGACACAAAACAAAATGAGCACTTATTTTATGGACTCAGCTCTCCAATTCCCCAAGCCAAATCTCCTGATACGCCACTGCCATTACACGGCATTGTTTTCCCTGAGCAGTCATCTCACGCCCCTCCTGCTTCCAAAGATGAGACTTCATCTTGCACACACTAGTCCCCTGAAACTCCAGGCAGGCATGAACAGAGTGACCTGACAGTTATCTCAACCGAGGCCTAGCTGTGCCCTTTGGAGTAAGCTCAGGTGAGCCACCTCACAGAGCGACTGCTGCACTCAACGCACTGCCTTGCAGGGATCCAGGATGCTGGGGACGGGCTTGGGCAGGACTGCTGCTCTGCACACCACCAAGCACTTGCACCAAGTCAGGGCAGGTCTCATCCTTGTCCCTGCCCTCATCCTTCCAATACTGCAAATGCAAGACAGAACTACCAGGAGAAAGTATGGAGTACCAGAGGAGAAGGAAAAAGGAATGTGAGCCAGTCAGGGTGGGAGAAGGGAAAGGCAGAGAGGAACAGAAGAACTGGAACAAGCAAGCACAACTCATGAAAGAAAGATGGGCTTTCGAGTTCAGAATGAGCAAAATGTCGGCACTAAGAGGTTAGCAGCTGCAGCCAGGGCTGCAGCTGTGGGTAACAGCGCAGGATTCCTGCAGCTCCATCCGCACACATTCCAGCTAATCCTCATGACCCCATCACGAGACAGAGCTCAATCATTAGCCACGGTTTTGGCTATTGTCATAGCACCAAAAACATCTGGGGACGTCAGTAAAAACAGTTGGGGCAGAAGGTAATTTAGGTTTGGACTTCCCGTTCCCTGTAAAGAGAATGGGCTTCAGGAGATAACAGCTTCAAATGGGAGGGAGAATGATTGTAAGAGGGAGAAGCAACATGTGAACCTGCCCATACAACATGCCTGCACTCATGTAACCCAACACACAGGCCTAGGGGAACAGGCCCAGCACCACACGGGAACGGCAGCTGAACAGGCCGCCAGCTGGGGTCACTGGCTCAGCTATTTCCCAAGTGTACTTCAACACAACCACCATGTTGATAACACTAAATGCTGAGAGTTTACACATGGCTATTCTGACCCTTCCCAGCATTCCTAGTGCCCTCCAAACCCAGGTCCTCAAGAATGTCGCCTGCAAAGCAGTCACGTCTGAGCCCACAGCCCCACCATGCCCACCGCACAAAATAAAAGGGACACTCCTGCGGGGCACTGCAAAGCCTGTGCACTGGCAAGCACTCCGTTTGCCACACTTAGTCTCACAAGCCTCAAGGATCCTCACACGGAGCAGTGCGATGCCTGTGAGAGCTCCTACCACCTCACCTATGTAATCCGGGTAGGTTCCATAGGCAAACAGGTTCAGCAACTGCAAATAGGCAGCATTTGCTCCTTCCGCCAGCTGAGGAGAAGAAAACAGCAGTCACCACAGATCGCCCTGTGCACCTGTCACTGCGGGGCTCAAACAGAAGGGGGTGGCTCCCGAAGAAGGCACCCTGGCTGTTTATTCGCTACTGCTTGGTTAGGCTGTAGCCCTGCCATCTTTCTGATTGTTCAGTTAAAACACAAAACAAGAGTCCAGTGCAGTGGCCTGGTGGCTAAAGTCCTCACCTTGAAAGCGCTGGGATCCCATACAGGCACGGGTTCTGATCCCGGCTGCCCCGCTTCCCATCCAGCTCCCTGCTTGTGGCCTGGGAAGGACAGCCCAAAGCCTTGGGACCCTGCACCTGTGTGGGAGACCTGGAGGAAGTTCCTGGCTCTAGATCAGTATAGCACCGGCCGTTGCGCTCACTTGAGGAGTGAACCATCAGACAGAAGATCTTTCTCTCTCTTTCCCCCTCTCTGTATATCTGACTTTGCAATAAAAATAAACTTAAAAAAAAAAAAAGATTCTTGGGCCCGGCGCGATGGCATAGTGGCTAAAGTCCTCGCCTTGCACACCCGGGATCCCATGTGGGCGCCGGTTCTAAACCCAGCGGCCCTGCTTCTCATCCAGCTCCCTGCTTGTGGCCTGGGAAGGCAGTCAGGGATGGCCCAAATCCTTGGGACCCTGCACCCAGGTGGGAAGTCCGGAAGAGTTCCTGGCTTCGGACTGGCTCAGCTCTAGCTGTTGCAGTCGCTTGGGGAGTGAACCATCGGACAGAGGATCTTCCTCTCTATCTCTCCTCCTCTCTGTATATCTGCCTTTCAATTAAAAAATAAATAAATCTTAAAAAAAGAAAGAAAGCTACAGGCTCCTTTCTTAAAAAAAAAAAAAAAAAAAAAAAAAAAGATTCCTGAAGCCCCAAAACTTTCCCCACCAACAGGTCATCTGATACTCCACATGGCAGGCCTGAAAGCTGCCTTTTCTCCATCGCACACACACAGCATGAAGCACTGGAAACAGTTCAAGTTTTCTCAGGATCCCCTTTGCACTAAAAGTCTGAAGCAGCCTGACCACACGCCAGCTCAGCAGCTGCAGCATGAGTCACCGCGAACACAAACTGCAGCAAGCTGAGGGTCAATTCCAAGCGTTAGGCTCGTGTGGACTATAACCCCTGGGAGATCAGCACAACATAACCTGTGGCAGAGAAGCCAGGCTGCGATGGAAACCAGCATGTCAGGCTGCTGCTCTCAACAAAGTTCATGAAAAGGACTTACTCTTCGCCGGTGCTGATGGCAAGCAGCCATTCTGTGGAAGAAAAACCACCTACCCGCTGCCCTGCCTGGAATGGCTCTGCCATCGCCTACCATAACTGAGTACCTCCTTCTCTCACAAAAATGCTCCCCTCCTCACCTAACTAGACACGCTCCACAGGGTCCACACAGGACACCGAGCGGGGTTCTGCAGATACCATCAGCAGTATTACTGCACTGTAGCCATTAAAAAAGTCCCAAGAACTGCAAGCATAATTTCAGACCCTGAAAAAGCAACTAGTTGTTTACTTCCAGTTTACATATGGAAAAGAAGTGTGATGAGACAAAGGGGATTTGCTAAGCATCTCAACAAGAGTTCTGGCTTCCTGATACCTCTGGCTGCCTTTCCAAGAGACCACAGACCTCAAGAAGCCCCGGATGAGAAGCGGATGAGAGCTGGCCAAGAGCACCCAATCCAGTCCTCACCTTTCAGGCAACATTACTAAGCCAGTCTAGGCAGATCATTAATTATAGCACACACATTCTAGAATTTCTTCTAGTTGTCTAAGGCAGTAAGGTCTTTCCAGATTTAATTTTTTAAGAGATTTATTTATTTGAAAGGCAAAGTCATAGAGAGAGACAGACAGAAAACTTTCATCTGCTGGTTCACTCCCCAAATGACTGCAAAGTCCACAGCTGAGCCGATAAGAAGCCAGGAGCTTCTTTAAGTCTCCCACACAGACACAGGAGTCCAAGCACCCGGGCCATCGCCAGCCACCTTGCCAGGCACAGTAGTAGGGAGAGGGAGAGGGAGTAAAACAGGGCCCAAAACAGAGCCCAGTGGGGTGCAGGTGCCAGAGGCGGCAGTTCTATCCATTGTACTGGCTGCGCAGTTTTAATTCTCAATTGTTTCTCTCAGCAAATCTTCCATTTAAAAGCCTGTGCAAATTCAATCAGGCCTTTTATGAATATGAAGGAATATTACTACCCCCTCTGTCATTTCTGTTGAACAATGAACTCATGTTCCTCAACTGCTTCTCAAAGGAGTCATTTCCCATCTTTGGTAAATTGAATTTTTATTGAAATTCCCATTGTGTGTCAGGCACAACAGATCTTATCTGCACAGAACTCACACCTTAGTAAGCAAGACTAATATATTAAATAACAATTTACCAAGCCAGCACTACGGCATAAGGGTTAAGCTGCCACCTGTGACACCAGCATTCCAGATTGGAATGCCAGTTCAAGTCCCGGCTGCCCATTTCCGATCCAGCTCACTGCTAATGTGCCCAGGAAAGCAGCAGATGATGATCCTCGTACCTGCACTCCCTGCCCCCAAACGGAAGACCCAGACAGAGTTTCTATCCCCAGTCCCAGCTGTTGTATGTTGGGACTCAACAAGTGGACGGAATTTCTCCCTGCCTTTCAAATAAAGAAAGAAAATCTTTTTTTTTTTTTTATAAAAAAGTAACAATTTAGAAGGAAAGTGCCTCTCCCCACCTCCCAGGGTGAGCAGGCTTGGGTATGTCAAGAGGAAGCAAGATACAACCCAGAGCCCAGACAGACTGAAAGTCCACAGGTTGTAGCCACAACCAACTGTGGGCTAAGGCTGACTGCTGGTCCTGCAGGTGACGGACTGCCCGGCCGAGGTCAGCCATCTCCCACATGGACGCAAACTGCTCCTCCGCCCTGCACGGATGCCAGGACCACTGTCAGCGCATCCAGTTCACGATGCGCGGAAGAAGTGCAACCTGCTGAGTCTGGGCCTGGCGGCCAGCCCACATACACAGAGACAACAGCCACACCCACCAACACGCCAAGAACCCCTGGCACCACCTCCCAAGCAACAAAGACGCCTGTAGTCTTCTCTCAAATAAACAGACAAACCTAAGTCCATAAAGTGAAAGAGGCTGGAAGTGCAGTACAGGCTGCTCTGCCTCATCTCATCTGGTCATTTTTAACTGGGACATGATGACCAAGCCTGGAAACTCAAGGTCTTAACAAAAATCAAATAAGCCAAGAAACCCCAACAGCTCGTCAGCTTGGCCTGTTTTATCTTCCCAACATCTCCTTTAGCTCGACAGCCCAGCTCAACAGCAGTAACCTCTGCTACATGTGTCCCAGAACAATCTTCCTTATCTAACTTACACTAGAGGTACAACTTTTGTCCACAGAATCCCTGACACTCCCCATATTAAACATCACTCCATGCTTAGGGCACTTTATCAGGATTTATCAGGATAACTGGGTCTTTTCATTCTCTTTCCAATTCCTAGCAACTCAATCTAACCTTTCCCAAGTTCAGATGAAAACATTCAATGACACAAGCCCAAGACATCACCTAGGGTCCTCCCCCAGCCCCCATTCCAACCCATCCCCTAGGACTCCAGCACTGAAACCCCTTGCAAGTTGAGAGATAATGAAGAAGCTGTCTGGGAGCACACCTACCTCTTGCACATTGGCCAGCTCCAGCAATTCTCCAAAGACATACACTCCAGGAGCCTCCAACACCTGGCTTATGAGTGCAGTGAGGGCTGAACCACTGGTCCCCTTGGCCAGCAAGATGAACTGCTCCAGGAGGTTACTTGAAGGTTTTTGTTCACCTGCCATTCTCTGGCGTTGAGGTCTGTCCAGAAGAGAAAGTGTGTAGGTCATTCTGCATCTACTTTGCAATCTGCACCTACTTCCCACGGGAATCTTTGATTTTCTAGCATTAACACAGGAGAAGCAGCCCTTTAGTCCGGGGATGCCCCCACTTGGTAAGACAAGGAAGGTGTGATCTGTAATTCAACCTCCATGCTGAGTCTGGAAACATTCCGTACAAGTCACTGCACCCCCATCCGCCCCGCCTGGAGACACAAGGGGAAAAAGGAGGGGTGGGGGGAGAACAGGGGAGAGGAAAAGTGAGGGGAGAGAGGGTAAGAAACGGACATCTATGTCTGCTGGTTCACTCCCCCAATGGCCACAACAACCAGAGCTGGGCTGGCTGAAGCCAGGAGCCAGGAGATCCCTGGTGTTGAAGAGACACCACCTTCTTAAGTGCTTAAAATTGCTGCAGCAGAGCAGGTTAAGCCAGGGCTCGGAAAGCCTGTGCGCCATGATGGAGGGCCGGGGGTTGAGTCCCCACCTCGACTTCTCATCCACTTCCCTGCTGACGCACCTGGGAGGCAGCCGCCCAGGGCCCACGTCCTTGGACTCCTGCGCACAAGGGACACGCAGCTGTTGATCCTGACTTGTGGTCCCCAGCTGGTCCAGTTCTAGCTTTTGCAGATACTTGGGATGTGAACCTGCAGCACGAACACTCTCCCTCCGTCACCGCCTTTCACGTAAACAAATGGCTTTCAAAAACCAGAAATAATCAAAAGAAAAACAAAGGAGTTTCTCAACAGCTGTCCTACACCCTCCTCACTCCCAGTCTCTGGGACCACCTGCCACACAGAGGCAGCAGACAGAAGCAAAAGGCATCAGTTCTAACTCCCAGTACGCCATCAAGGTCACATCTACATCCCGCACCGGTAAGCAGCAGACCAGAAAGACATCTCGTGTATCTGAAGGGAATGCATCAATGCTCAATGCTAAGCAGCAACATATTGACACTAGCAAAGCCTAAGCTCCAGGGAGGAGAGCCACTTGGGGAACACCAAGAAGGTGCATGGCTACCCTGAAGTCAGGTTCCCGCACCTGTGCAATCCAACCACACGCTGCGCGTAAGAGGACACACGTATGACGATTCTACAGGCGTCCAGGATGGCACCAGCCGGGGTAATGCAGCAAAATGAAGCAGACAGCAACCCAAGCAGGGATGTCTGGACGTGAGAGAAACCAGGTTTTCCCACGGGTGCGTACACAGAAATTCACAGTGCTAGAGAAATACGTTTGTTGCCTCGCTTAGGGTCACCTGAGAGATCCCGGCAGAAACCGGAAAAAAAAAAAAAAAAGAAAGAAAGAAAAAGTGACGTGCAGGGAAAGCGGAGAGAGGAGAGAGAGGGAGAAAAGACGAGACAAGCGGAGGGCAGCAGAAGACGCCTTTGCAAATGGACACAGGGGACGCTGGGCCGGCAGTCAGCAGAGGGTAGCGACCTGGAGGGCCACTTCAGTCCTACGGAGGGGTAGGCGGGGACCAGCTCCCGTCCGGGGACGGTGCTGTTCTGAGGGACGGGAGCAGGGCACGGGGGCAGCGTGGCGGCCAGGGCCGGCCCGGCGCGGAGGCCGAGGGTCGCGGGCTACGGCTGCCCTCGGTGCGGCGGCATGCTCCACGCCTGGGCCGCGGGCGTGGAGGGACGAGCCGCGGGGCGCGCTCCTCGGCGCGGGGGCTGGGCGGCCGGCGCGAGGTCGAACGGTTCTGCCGAGACTGGCACGCCGGACCCCTACCTGTCCGCGCCGCCTTTCGGTCCCCTTCGTCCCTGGCTCGGCCTCCGGCGCTTCCCGCAGGTTGTCAAGCGTCCATGTTCGGCCCGGCGTCCGGTACTTTTCTGCCTCCGCCGACCCGTCGCCCTGGCTGTTCCCCCCGGAAGCCGCCCGCCGCTGTATTAGAGTTCCGCCCACACAAGGTTCCGCGGGCCGCCGCTCACAGCCTTGGGGCTTCCAGCGGAGCCCGGGGCCCGGGAAGAAGGTCCTGGCCGGCCGGCTGGACCAGAACCCTGGAACTGGACAGAGCTGGGATGCCAAAAGGCCCTCAGGTCAAGGAGTGCGGCTTAGTTAGCAATGGAGGCCAAATCGTCATTCTCACCATCCTGGGCCCAAAATCCACAAGTTTTCTGAAGCAACTGGTCTACCCCGGTTATGGCACTATTAAGACTAATAATATGTATGGATGCTTTGTTTCACGTGCTAAGTATTGTACATGCATTGAATGTCTGTTAACTCTAGGGGCTGTAATATTATTTCCATTTTTCAAAACAGTCCCTGTCAGTGTGGCAAAGCCCACACTGGAAGGCGGGTCTGTCTGAAGTCCAAGACCGTGTTCTTAACCTGGATTCAGAAAACGCCTTCAAATAAGCCAGGTGGGCTGAGCCAGCAATGGGTCTGTGACCAAAATGAGGTACACAGCACTGCACCTAGGCAAATGGTCACACAGATATACGGCCAACTTGCTCATCTGGAATGTGTGACAATCAGACAGGCCTGAGGCTGGGGAGCCTAGAACCCAGCATGCACTGCTGCATCCACTGCCTGTCATGTTCAGATTAAATAAAGATGAAATGAGAGTCCTGGGCTCCAAAAACTTCCTGAGAGAGACACAAAGATGATGACACTTTCGAAGCACAGAAGTGAACAGGAAAGCAAAGGGTGAACATATTCAGGGGAGTAGTGACCACAGGCCCTGAGGCGTGCAGGGGACAGTCTGCGCTGATGGAGGAAGGAGACCCCAAGCGAGTGGGACCCCGGCTGCAGGAGTGGGAGCTGGGGGGCACCGAGCTTGATCCTGGAATCCCTGGGCCAGGAACAGGGACCTGGAAGGACCCCAACACTGTCAAGTGCCCACCCTGAAGGGCTGAAAGACAACGTCACCACCAGCACCCCAGGGGTACACATAAGGCTCCTGACTGCGCCCTGGGGATTCCTGACAGGTGTCTGGAAAAGACCAAGGCTTACACTGAATCTGGGACAAGAAGCAGGTGACCAAAGGCATGAGGGAGGGCAGGGAGGTCTCTGCTTTCTGCTAGGGCACTGGGGAAGTATTTAGCCTTTGTGACCCAGGAATGATGACCCCAGGAATGGCTAGAGATAGCCGCAACCAAGAAAACCGCTGAAGTGAACAGTGTATTCTAGATAAAACACTGCGTGACCTCCAGCACACACAGGAGCCATTGAGGATGCAAAGGAATGAACGTTGTAGATGTGGAAGCCACAGAATCTGTAAGACTTGGGCACCCCCTGAACCCAGGGAGAGAGAAGGGAGATGTCACCCAGGAATCTGGACAGGGAGGCCAGAGCTGTGTGGATGTGTGGTAACTAAACAAGGAGCCAAGTTGGCGGTGAGAGGAAGACGCCCAGGCTTCCTTTGAGCTGTGAATGTCCCAGCAAAGCCTCTGCTTCCATCAGAGTGATGGCCAGATGCCAAGGCTCCTTCGCAGGATCCCCCCACAAACCCTCCCAGTCGTGTCTCAGGCCACCTTCTTCACAGCCCAAGCTCCACGCCTCCAGCACCCGGAATGACTTAGACCTTCCCTGTCCAAACCAGTGCTCTGGCTGCTCACTCGCTCTTCTTTTCTGCAAAGCTTTTCTCTCACATTTGTGTGTCAAAACTCCCACCCATGCCAAAAGCAACAATCTCTTAAACTGGAGGCAGATCAGAATTTCTGTTTCAAAAGGCACCAGTAAGTTAGTGAAGAGGCAAGTCACAGGCTTGGGAAAGCCATTACATATGCCAGACAACAAAGTCCTCTAGACAGCAGAGAGAACTGCAAGTCAACAGGAAAGCAAACAGCCCGATTCTTACCTGTCAGGCAAAACGCTTGGGAAGGCACTTCTCAAGGAAGACATTCAAGTAGGAACAAGCACAGAAAAAGGGGCTAACCTCAGGGGAGGAAAAATGAGACACCACACTTAACCAGAATGACTATAACCAACAAAACTGACTACAAACACACTGGGTTGACAAGGACATGAGGCCACCATCATCCTCTTGTGAAGGCATAAAATAGTTACAGTCAGGCCTGGCACAGTGGCTCAATGGCTAGATCCTCCTTTGTATCCACCTGGATCTCATATGTGTGCCAGTTCGTGTCCCAGCTGCTCCACTTCCCTTCCAGCTCCCTGGAAGAGGCTCTTGGCTCCTGGCCTCGGATCGGGTCAGCTCCAGCCACTGCAACCATTTGGGGAGTGACCTAGTGAATGGAAGATCTTTCTTTTTGTCTCTCCTTCTCTCTGCAAATCTGATCTGCCTTTCAAATAATAAATCTTTTTTTAAAATGGAATTCAAGTTTATTTGGTGCAATGAGTTTTTTTTTTTAATTTATTTTATTTTTATTGGAAAGGCAGATATACAGAGAGGAGAGACAGAGAGGAAGATCTTCCGTCCGATGATTCACTCTCCAGGCAGCCGCAACGGCTGGAGCTGAGCCAATCCGAAGCCAGGAGACTCTTCCGGGTCTCCCACGCGGGTGCAGGGTCCCCAAGGCTTTGGGCCGTCCTTGACTGCTTTCCCAGGCCACAAATGGAGCTAGATGGGAAGCGGGGCCACCGGGATTAGAGCCGGCGCCCATATGGGATCCTGGGAGTGCAAGGCGAGGACTTTAACCACTGCGCCATCACGCCGGGCCCAAATAATAAATCTTTTAAAATTGTTCAATAACTTTGCTAAATTAGCAGTCTTTCCCACCCTTGGCTGTGTGTCTACCCTGCAAGCTAGCAGCTCTTCTAGAAAAGCAGGCATATCCACAGAGAGGGCTCAGAATGCCCACATCAGCTTCATACCAGTCAAAAAGAAAATAAAAAGGATAAGAGAACAGTAGGATAAATTGTGGCCTAGACATACTCAGCAATTAAACATGAAACAACATGACAAAACTCACAAAAATGCTGATGACAAAATAAACCAGACACAAGTTGTGTGTATGGTATGATTACGTTTAAACCAGAACTCAAGAATGGACAAAAGTGCCCCATGGTAAAGTGAGAGGAGGGCCTTTCTCCAGACGTGAGGATGCAATGCTGACTGGAAATGGCTGGAAGCATTCCTGGGGGTTAGTACCAGCGGTTTTAAGAATGTGGAAATTGTTCCTTAGTCTATGTATCTTATACGTCATTAACAGATATTTTAGATAAAATTTTTAACATAGAAAATTCTACCCTCCCTTCCATAAAGGCCACCCCTCCATAAGTATCTGCCAGGTAAACTACATCCATCAGGGCCCGGCGGCGTGGCCTAGTGGCTAAAGTCCTCACCTTGAACGCGCCCGGGATCCCATATGGGTGCCAGTTCTAATCCTGGAAGCTCCACTTCCCATCCAGCTCCCTGTTTGTGGCCTGGGAAAGCAGTCGAGGATGGCCCAAGGCCTTGGTACCCTGCACCCATGTGGGAAACCAGGAAGAAGTTCCTGGGTCCTGGCTTCGGATCCGCACAGCACTGGCTGTTGCGACTCACTTGGGGAGTGAATCATCGGACAGAAGATCTTCCTCTCTGTCTCTCCTCCTCCCTGTATATCCTACTTTGTAATAAAAATAAATTAATTACTTTTAAAAAATACATCCACTAGAGTCCTCTGTGACATGCTGATGTCACTTTTATGCCATGCGTCACACTCCATCTTAAATCTCAGCAGAATCTCCCTGTCACCCTAAGTACAAATAGATGGCAAGCTTTGGCATGGCCAGAGTCCCATCTATCTGCTTCACCCTCTGTCACAGCAGCAGAAAGAAAACCTGGGTGAGTACAGAAGAGTGAAAACGATGGCAAGAGGAAGCAGGTCCTGGGAGAGGACACGGGACATCCCTAGTAATCCTTGGCTCACCCTGCAACACTTTCACCTACTTCCTGAAATTACAGTCAATGTCACCTTGAACAACAAAGAAAGAACAAATCCAAAGACCACTTCCTACCCAAACCGAAGGTAATAAAGAGGTGTCACACACACTTCGTCATTCGCTAGAAACCCCAGACACAGGCTGACCTATCCTCAGGGTCAGCCCTGCACAGGACAAGTGTTCATGGAGAACGGTCATCACATTGCCACCCTGCTAAAAATATCACCTCTCCAAGACAGCGCAAACGGCCGGCCAGCAGACTCGGCTCCCACCTGCAGTGAGCTGAGGCCCACCCCTCGCCTCTCAATTTCCTCTTCTGCAAAGACAACAGGGGCAGGCTTAGCAAATTCTGTCCACTCCCTCCCTGGATTGACAGTCAGGGCACACAGCCCGTAGCTCTCCAAAACAGGCACACAGCAGAAACCTCGGTGGCCGCGGAAACGACTCCCCAGAACAACACACAGGCACGATTTGAAGAAGTCATCTGGTGACATTCGTGCGTGGTTTCATCAGTGTTTTGTTGTTTGCATCCTTACCATGATTTGCAGGACGTTTCTGAGTTCCGTGTCAACAGAAGTTAATTCTCCGCGGGCTGTCATCTTCTCCGACGGGGCCGAGCCTGTCTTTCCCGCCTGGTTTCAAGTCTGGCGATTTCAGAAACCATCGACCTTGCCGGCAGGTGGACGAATTTGCGCACACTGCGCGGCACACTGGAGCCCAAGTTACAGAGGAGTGGGGCGCGATGGATGCTGGGATGTGTAGTCCCTGGGCCTCTGGGCGGCGTGCTGGGATCCGTGGTTCCCCTGGCGCTCTCCTGGAATTCTGGGAAATGTAGTCCTGTGCCCCCTTCGCACGAAGCAACCTGCCGTGGTATCAGGAGACCAGTGTGCCCAGCGGCAGGAGCAGGCCACTAGAGTCTCTGCAGCTCTCAAGTCAAACCCCCACTGGAGCAAACTCTAGGCAACGACAGCGGTCGAAAATGTCCTGTGGGACTTCTTGGGGAGGGCCCTTCCCATGGATGCTCTTCGTCGCCCCCGCCCGCGAAGCCGCTAAGCGTTTCTATTGGCTGAGCAGGATGCCAATCGCTGAGGTTGGCTTTCTATTGGCTTAGGGGCGGGCGCTCCGAGGCCAGGGGAGAAGGAGAAGGGATCAGGAGCGGGAGCTGAGGGGAGGGAGAGGCCGGTCCGGGTCTGGCCGCTGCCGCTGCTCGCCTGAGGTGTCCAGGCCGGTCCGCGGCTCTGTCCTCTGCTCTTGGGCACGGTCCACGAGGCTCCGCAGGACAGCGTGAGAGAACCGCGGGCGGCGGCCGCCGCATCATGACAGCCAAGGACGAGCGGGCCAGGGAGATCCTGAGAGGCTTCAAACTGTATCCGCCCGGGAGCGGGGCGGGGCCGGGAAGACTTGGGAGGTGGCCGCTCCCTGAGGAGACCGGCCGGGGACTGGGGCGCCAGGTGGGCACCCGGGAGCGGGGTAGGGGATAGGAAGGGAACGGGGTCCCGGGCCCCCGGCGGCACCGGGCGCGGGAGGTGGGCACTGGGTGTCCTGAGGAAGGAAGGGGACGTTGGAGGAAACCCCGGGTCTCTAGGAGGCGAAGGAGCCCCCCGGGGGTCGGGCTGCAAGGGGCGCTGGGCGGCGGAGAGGCCGGGCTGGGGTCGGAGCTCCGGCCGGACCCTGCTGCCGCGGCCCGAGGTGAAGGGCCGAGGGGGTGCAGCAGGCTGGCCTCGCAGCCTTGGAGGCGTCTTTGGCGGGAAGCCCACCCAAGGGGAGCAAAGTGGCTTGGAGTGAGTGACCTTGTGTGGAACCAACGCCCGGGTTAAACTCTACCCTGTCTTGTTGCCACAACTTGTGCTGCTCACTCACTTGTGGCTTGCACGGCTGGAGTTGTGGCGGACGGTCCAAGAAGGACCTCCTCTTTACTCTCGGTGGGCCCTGAGAGGTGGGGTGGTCGCTGCTTGCTGCCTGGGCTCCTCAGTTTCCTTGCGGGATGCCTCGGAGCCGGGCTGCCGCCTGCGCTGGGGTGGCTGCCTGGCTGTGGGGGCGGAGCTGTCCAGCAGGGCTTCCAGGGCTTGGGGGGGACCCCGTGGGGTGTGCAAGTGGCTGCCGTGGGCTCTGGTTTTGCAGCCTTCTGTCCCTAAGGCAGTGCTGGAGCTTCGTGCTTGAGTGAAGGGTTCGCCTGTCTGAGGTGATCTGCTAGATTCCTAATTTACATTCTCGCATTGGCCTTAATCTCTTCTTAACGCCCTGTCCATGCAATATGGAACGTTTTAAAATATCTTGTTCCGGGAGCCTGTGGCCATCTCTTCACGGCTCCTGGCTTGCCTTTCCAGTAAAGTGCTGGTCCCCGACCCCACCCCGCCTTGCCCTGGCGGTGTCCACGTTCAACCCCGTATGAATTGTATTGGCGTTATCATAGTCAGAAGCCAAGTTGGTAGGAAATTTTACAGAAAGTACAGGAAGTTTGGGAGGTATCGATGGAAATCTCAAAGGGAATGAGGTTTTATCCACTTTGCAAACCAGCATTCCTGATCAACTTCCGGTACCTGAGTGTGAAGTTTGCAACAGCTGCTTCTCTAGCCAGCAGGGTCCTTCTGTGTTTCTCTTAGTAAACGCGGCCTTGACGTGGAGATAACCAAATATTAGAAAAGCTACCTCTAGTTTTTTTTTCTCTTGAGTACTTTATATTTTACTTCATATTTACTAAACAGGTATTGTTGACAGTAAACCAGGGAATTTGAGGTTTCAGAAGCAACTATTTTTTATTGCAGTTAGTATGCTGCTAAAACTCTGAAAAGTTTTTAATGGCTTTTGAGCAACAGGTCTGAGCTTCTCATCTTCGGGCTTGGCCCTGGAAGCTGTGGGGAAAGAAGCTGAGAATAGATCTGAGGAAGAGTAGGAAGCTGACCTGCATCAAGGTCAATCAGCAAGCCGGTGATGGTGTCACTGCGGCCAGGAGCAGGCTTTGGGGCAAAACTGCAGCTGAGCTCATCGGCTGCTGAAGCGCAAGGGAAGCGGGCACAGGACGTGAGTGAGGAAGCCATGGGGTGAGAGCTGGCACCCAGGCGGCCTTTATTGGCATCTGAGTGTGAAAAGAAAAGCAAGAACTTCAGGATTGGTTGCTAGCTTCAGGGGAAAAAAAAGAAGTGAATGTTTTGGAAAGAGCCTAGCTGCCTCCTGACCACCTGTTGGAGAAGTGAAGTGGTTCTGCGGAGCTTTGTCTCAGAGTATTGATTTCTGTAAGAGTAGTTTAGTACTACAAAAAAAAAAAAAAAGCACCATTATGCTCTCCACCGGCAGGGCTGACACCACTTAATTCTGCACTGTGACTATGTCAGGTGGTGTTGGTTGTTATTGTTTGGCCAGTGTAGAGAACAAATGAGACCTTGCTTTAGTGGTATGTTCCTGGATGTCTAGTTCAGTGGAGAGGTAACACGGCCCCGTGTTTGTGTAAGAGCCAGGCTGGAGTGTGGAGCAATACCATCTGCCGTGGAATTCTAGCCTTGGGCTCCTGATGGTGTATCCCTGCACAATGAACTCTGCTGCCTTCTCATCTGTCACGATGGGGTTAGGAATAGTTTCCAGCTAACGGGGTTGTTGCGCCATTTCTGATTGATCCCTGAGGTACCCGGGACGGGCCTGGTGCAGAGTGAGCGTTGTCTGTTAGCTATTGCTGTCAGTAACAAGTTACTGATCTCTTACAATTGGGCGTTTTCTTCGGTGAGCTGCCTGTTAGTTCGGGTTTTGCCCATGTTACGGAATTGCTCTCATTTTTCTCATTGCTTGGTAGACGTTCTTTCGTGCTTTAATATTAATACTCTAGCTATGAAGTACGTTGCAGATATTTTCCCAGTGAATTGCTTGTTCCCATCTTTTGTTGAATAGAATTTTGAAGTCATCATGTCAGATCTGTCAATATTTTCCTTCTGCATGTTCCGTTTGTCCTAAGTGTTCTGTTTTCGGGGTAGCGCCTCAGTCGGCCTGCAGTATGTCACAGGTGTGGTGGGTGGTAGACCCTTAGTACTGCGTTCACAGTCGGTGCCCCTGGACTATTTGCACTGTTTGAGAATTCTGTCTTTGTCAGTGTTTTCTTTCTGTTACACATGGGTTTGTTTTTGGAATGTTTCTGTTTCATTGATCCGTATTTAGTTTATTTACAGTAGTTTTGTGGTATGATGGAGTATACTTTGCAGTAGGATTGATATTTCATGAACAGTAAGTGTATTTAAAGTCATATTGTAAGAGTCCTATAAATACTTGTATTCCTTTTATTCACACAGAACATTGCATATCTATTATACAAGTAGAGACCAAATAAATGTGATTAACAACTTACATAAATCAGGGCCTGGCATGATAGCGTAGTGGTTAAGGTCCTTGCCTTGCACGAGCTGTGATCCTGTGTGGTCGCCGGTTCTAATCCCAGTGGCCCCGCTTCCCATCCAGCTCCATTTGTGGCCTGGGACAACAGTTGAGGATGGCCCAAATCCTTGGGACCCTGCACCCGTGTGGGAGACCTGGAAGAGCTCCTGGCTCCTGGCTTCAGATGGCTCAACTCCAGCCGTTGCGGTCACTTGGGGAGTGAATGATCAGATGTGAAATCTTCCTCTCTATCTTTCCTCCTCTCTGTATATCCACCTTTCCAATAAAAATAAACAAATATTTTTTAAAAACCACAAATTACATAAATCAGATATAGTCTGAGAAATTTTAGTTGAAGTGTTTTTTATTTGCCTTAAGTTACTTCAAAAGCATGCATAAATTTCCTTTCATATCATCTGCATCCCATTGTTGTTCAACTGATACAATATTATTTTGTGTTTCTTTCCTGTTTGCTAAAAACATAATATGTCCTAGCTGTAAATTAAAATATGAATATTACTTGGGGAATAAGCTCACTCTACTACGAAGAGTTTGGATTTGGATGCTTCAAACAACTTAGAGTGATGCTTATAATCCCATATGCTCCACAACACTCATTCAACAAAGATGACTGTTAAGAAGGGACTCTACATGAAGAACACAAAAATTAATTCTTTCGGGCCCGGCAGCATGACCTAGCGGCTAAAGTCCTCGCCTTGAATGCACTGGGATCCCATATGGGCGCCGGTTCTAATCCCGGCAGCTCCACTTCCCATCCAGCTCCCTGCTTGTGGCCTGGGAAAGCAGTCAAGGACGGCCCAAAGCCTCGGGACCCTGCACTTGTGTGGGAGACCAGGAGAAAGTTCCTGGATCCTGGCTCCGGACTGGCATAGTACCGGCCGTTGCGCTCACTTGGGGAGTGAATCATCGGGTGAAAGATCTTCCTCTCTGTCTCTCCTCATCTCTGTATATCTGACTTTCCAATAAATAAATAAATCTTTAAAAAAAATTAATTCTTTTCAAAAGCTTAGCTATTTTTATGTCTGATTAGAGGGAGCATCTTAAAAAGCATTGCATTTTGTAAAACAGTTTTTAACTTGACTGTTTTAAATTCCAGCCACCTAAAAAATTACCTTTGTCATTATTTTAATACAGCTATTGTTTAAAGCATTTGTTTTTATAAAAATGTGATTATAAAGATTAGTTTGTATGTTTTTAACGTTAAATTACTATGTTCATAATCCTTAAGTTATTGCCAGTTGTTTTCTGTCACATAGATGTGGCATATTACTCTTCAACAAAAAAAGATTGACTTTATTTTTATTTGAAATGAGATTTACAGAGAGATCCTCCATCCTAAATGTTTACTCCCTGATGTTTGCAATAGCCAGAGCTGGGCTGTTTTAAAGCCAGGAGCCAGGAGCCTCCTCCAGGTCTCCCAACACGTGAGTTCAGGGGCCTAAGGGCTTGAGCCAAACTTCATTGTCTTCCCAGGGCACTGCAGGGATCAGAAGAGGGACAGCCAAAACAAACCAGTACCACGAGTGGAGGCCTAGCCTACCGCACCATGGCACTGGCCCCTCTTAAAAAAATTATAAATCAGAATTACAAAAAGAGAACGAGACAGTGAGATCTTCCATGTGCTAGTTAACTCCCCAGATGGCTACCCACACAGTGTGGACTTCACTAGACTGAAACCAGGAGCCAGGAGCCTCATCAGGGTCCCCCACATGGGTGGAAAGGCCCTAGAACTTGTGCCATCTTCCACTGCTTTTCCCAGGCCATTAGCAGAGAGCCGAATTAGAAGTGGAACAGTAGGGGCACAAATTGGTACCTGTATGGAATGCCAATGTCACAGATGGCAGCTTTACCCGCTATACCGTAACACCAGGTCCTGACACATTACTTTTTTTTTTGAAGATTTATTTTTATTGCAATCACCAATATATGGGGAGCAGAGACAGAGAGGAAAGTCTTCCATCTGTTGATTCACCCCCAAAATGACCACAA